GTGTATTACTTATACAGGCATAATTATATGATACTTCCACTATTTATTTATTTAATGTCCGCTTACTGAGTATATTTTAATCAGTAAATGAGGTGCAGTACCCTATCATTCGTGCAACTTGTATGTAAGATTCAAGAGTTTGTCAAAATAGTTAATCAATGCAACTGACGATAAATATGCAGCAGTTATACTCACTGAGATATGCATTTAGCCTATTTAATACAAGCTTCCTCGGTTAAGTCATAGTTCTTTTAAATTAAAACAAAAATTAAATTTTACAAATAAAAAAACAACGTTGCTTTAGATTTATTAGATTGTATTAGCGCTCTAACACTATTTTTGTACATCTTAAAAAATAGATAAAAAATTTTAAAAAAATAACTAAAATAAACTCTATTAATACCGATTGCGCCCTCTTGTGTTAGAGAGAGATAATTAAGGGCGCTAAGATTATGTAACTTGTGTAAACATATAAGGAGTTGGCTAGTAATTTCACTGTTCCCTGGGTTAATAGGCCTACACCATGTGTCTTCATTTTGTCTTCAGAGACTCTACATAGATCACCAAAAGTCATTTACCGTCACGTGGAAGCTACCAAGTACATGTAGGCCTAGGCCTATTCTAAGTTGATCAATTATCAGCAGACACTAATGAAAAGAACGAGAGATTAATCGGTCTCCCATAGTGCCTATTGGTATTTATTTATAACAACTTACACCCGTGTATGTAAATTCTATTACGCATACATTGTTAGGCCTACCGTACTTATCCTGAACAGCTGACGAACAAAATCACTCTCTAAGCGTATTCAGAAACCTTAGAAGAGTGATATTTAAGTGCGACATTTTTTTAAAGGTCCCCCCCCCCACCGACAAATTCAGATATAAAGACCCTCTAAGCTTCAATGGTAGGGGTATTTGCCAGAGTCCAAAACAGTGTCAAAACGTCTTGTGGAAAACCAGCGTTAAGCCGGTTTCCCATTAGCTAATCAAACCGTCTATTGTTTCCTGAGCTCCGATTGGTTGAGCATTTTTTCGCTTCGCAAAAACTGCGAGAGGAATGTGAATGCGCATGCGTATGAACCGACGCTTTCGATTCGGGCGAATAAATTCGCCAAGTGGAAAAAAAGCTTAAAAGCCTGTTTCCACTAGGCCAATTATTCGCGCGAATGAAAGGCGTCGGTTCGGTTCCTGGGCTCATGATTGTTTGCGCACATTTTTCGTTTCGCGAAAGGCAGAAAAAGTTCGAACTATCAATTTCGCTGAAGCAAAAACTCCGACAGAAATGTGAATGCGCATGCGCATGAACGACGCTTTAGATTCGTGCGAATAAATTCGCCTAGTGGAAAACCGGCTTTACGTAAACCACTACTAACTCGGAGTCGCTCAGCTTAGTCGTACATGTGTCTGCCTTGGCATTGACACTGTGTGTCTTTACAGGTATAAGCATTGTTTTAAAGCATAGTGGGCAAAGGTGAATTTCTTGCGGCCCCCGAAAATGAATTAAAACCCTATGTGTGCGGCCCGCCAACCATCTTTGACTACAATATTCCTTGGGCCGGATTTATCAAACTCGTCTTTATTCCATTTTTTTTGTGTGTGCTTAAGTCAGATTTATCAGTACCGGTATTGTTTAGCTTAAAAATTGCTTAAAATTAAAAATTTGATTGTACTCATGTGCCATCTAAGACGATTTTTAAGATTTTGCTAAAGATGATTTGATAAATCAGCTCAGATTTGCTTAGGGACATCTTAACTTTGTTTGACTTAAGACGTTTGCTAAGTTAAGATTGTTAAATCCCGAGTTTTGTTTTCTCCGGCCCGAAACTGAATCCTAGCTGTAAAAAGTAGTATGAAAACTGAGCCTAAAGCTGTTACAAAAGCAGTGCATGAAGGATTTTGGAAGCCCACTTGAAACATAGTTGACTTCCTTATGTTGTGGTCACATTAGACTGTAATATTAATATCTGTCTCTTATACACATCTCGCTAGGTCTAGGCCCCTAGCTGGGTAGGCCCTTGCCTCTCCATCATCCCTCACTCAGCTCTCGTCTGCCGCTTCCCCCTCCATATGACTGAAAAGCTGTACTAGATCTCAAAAAAATATTTTATAACAAAAGAAGTTGCACTTACCACCAGGTTTGAGCATTACCTCTTTAATATTCTGTTCTGACTAGAAGATCTATTCTGACTAGCCTAGAAGAGAATGGTCAGTGCCACCTCCCTGCCACACTACGGTTGTAAGTCACAGTGGTCAATAGATGCTGGCAGCTAAGGTGTGGGAGGTATGGTTTTGGTTTATCTTGTTTACACACTGTGTTTGTTGCATGCACTTTGTTCAGGGACCGCCACGACAGCAAAACAATTCCATATTGTACACCAATAACAGTGTCTATTAATTAATAAATACTTGTGATATTGTGATATTATAATTATCTTAAAATTAGTGGCGGATTGAATGGGAACCTAGACGGCCCGGGACCCTCCCCCTAAATTTTTCAAAATTCAAAAAGAAAAAGGAGATATCAGGAAAATATA